TGTGTGAATAAAGTATTATTTGGTTATTGTGGGTGTTTTTCTGGTGTTCGTGCCACAGCCTTAGCAAAGTTGTTGGTGACAAAAATGGTTGCTGCTGAAACAAGGTCACAGCAACACCAACACGTCATTTCACTAGAAACAATGCAGTACGATTCGGTTGATTTGGATTTTATTGTCGGGCTAGTACTATTGTGGCAGTCTTTCGAACGAACTGATCAGCTTATGTCTATTTAACTAAGATTACAAGGGTTGACATGGTCTTGACTCAAAAAATATTTTTTTATCTGCTTTAGAGCTAGCAAAATGTAATGAAATCAAAACATTTATGTCGGCAAACCATGAGAACTCTGTGAAATGGTATGAGATTCCTCTTCACTTCTATGTCAATTGGCAGAAAAAAGCCTTAAAAAAATCCAATTCAAAAGAATAATAAAAAATAAAATAAATAAATAAATAAATAAATAAAAAATAAAACAAAGATGGTTTGATAAAGATTGCCATTTATTACGTAATGAACTTAAAATGCATGCTAAATTAATTCAGAGATTTCCTAATGACCCTATTGTTAGAGGTAGATTCTTCAAAACAATTTTTAAAAAATCCTCAAATACAAAAAAAAAATTTAAAGTACACCAGCTTAATGAAATTGAGAGTCTTCAAAGTAAAAATTCAGCATTCTGGAAAAAAATAAGTGAACTCAAGAATGACGCGAATACAAAAAAGTCACAGACAGATTGCATAGCACCAGATAAATGGTTGACACACTTCAAAGATCTATTAAATTCTAAACCTGGTAAAAATACAGAAGAACAAGACGATATTATATCAGATCTTAGAAATAGGGAAATTAAGGAACTTGATGCTAGTAAAACTGATTTGGATGGACCAATACAGAAAAAAGAAATTAAACAAGCCATCAGATTATTGAAAAACAACAAATCAATTGCAGAAGACCAAATCTGTAATGAGATGCTAAAATGCGGTGAACATTACCTCATCAAACCTATTAAAAAAATACTTAACTCTATTTACAATGCAAATATTTTCCCACATGCATGGAGTACAAGTTCAATAATACCCATACATAAAGCAGGATCTAAATCAAATCCCTCAAACTACAGGGGAATAGCAATCTCCAGCTGCCTTGGCAAACTATTTACAAGTATCTTTAATACAAGGCTAACCACTTTTATTGAGAAAAAATTATTATCAAATTATTAAAAGTATGTACAGTAGTATAAAATATAAAATAAAAA